CCCCCTGAGCTCAGAACTTTGGTATCTCCAGCTAGAAGTGGAGCTAACTCTTCCTCTCAGAAGCAGCCTGTGACTGTGGGCCCACCCTGGCTGGGTTTCTTCCTACTGTGTTTCAGATAGGAGATGTGAATGACAGGTGCCTCCTCCATAGAAGTGACTCTGATCAAAGAATAATCACTGAGAGTAGAACCCGGTAAGGAAGCTTCCAGATCTTTGCCCAGGACTCAGAGAAACTCCTGGGCTGTGTAGCCCCACAGTTCTTTAGTGGGAGAAAGGTAGTCCTACTGCTCCATTGGGTTCTGGGCTGCTGTTGGATCTCACCCATAAAGCACCATAAAGCACATGACCCTGTACTTGCCTATGCCTCTGAATTACCCCTTCAGCTTGTTTGGAATCCAAATCCTGGCCTCTAGGGTGCTCTCTATGACCCCCGCTCAGCCTTGGTCACCTGGCAACTTAATGAGCATGTTTACTGGCCATTGCTGATGGTAGGAGCTGGTATCAGGTCCAAGCCAGGTTCCTACTCAAGCTTGGCTGGCCACTGCTTGCTTCCTCGACCTAGACCTGCTCCCATCAAACAAAGGAGGGCTAAATCATACTTTTCCTAGCTTGCCCAGTGTTGACTTCAGAGGGGAGAGAATTAGAAGGTCTCTGCTTTTTATTTTTTTAGTCCTTTCTCCCCAATCCATTGCTCTGTCTATACTAATGGAGGATCTGAGAAATGCTGACCTGAAAAAAATGAATCCCCTGCATCAGTACACGGCTGTTTCCTCTCTCTAGCCAACCATACCTGTTCTCCATCAAAGGTCTCCATTGGGAGGTCCTGGAAGGGGAACTTCCTCAGGTTTCAGTAACTAGAGGCATGCCCTAGGTTGCTTTTATCTTTGCCTACTAATGGTTATTTGTCTTTTGGGGTTGTGGTAGTGAACAAATGATTACCCCATTTCCACTGTTCTCTCCAAGGCTTGTGTATAGAGTTAACTTGAGTTCTAAGACCCAGAGGCCATCATGAAAATACTCCATATTCATCCAGTGCTTTGTATCTTTCTAAGGACTTATCTCCTACAGCTCTGAAAGGTAGGCAGGGTGGGGATTTATTATCATCCCTGTTGAGGAAACTGAGTCCCAAAGATTTGAAACATCTTGTCTAAGGTTGCATGGTAAGTCACCAATCGACCAAGGACTCCTGACTTCCACCGCTGCTCCATGCTTGCTAGGGGACCCTGGAGTCTTGAGAGCCTCTGTGAGAGGTTCACTTGTGGCCCTTGAGGATCTCACTTCATACAAAGCTCACTCCATCACTGCCACTCACATCAAAATGGAGTTTGTTAGATTGTAGAGGCTTTTAGGACCTGGTGTTGATGAGGTAACAGTGAGAGTGTAGAGCAAGGAGCTCTCAAAAGGCCAGTTCTTCTGCATGCCTGTGTTTTGGACTCTGCTTTGAGGGCCTGGTCTCTCTCCCTTGGACCTGGTTCCCCCTCCAGAGGGGAGGTGCAGGGTGTGCCCTTGGCTGGGCTGGGCCTATCCCTACCCTTGATCAGCTGACCTTTCCTTCTTTGTCCACAGGGAGCGTGAGATGGGGATAGTGAAGCAGGAGTTGGCAGTAGTGCTGTCCACCTTGCAGCTGCTCAAGGAGGACAATCCTAACAGGAAGATAGCTGAGATACAGGGCAAGCTGGTCACGGTACGTGACAGGGCTCCCTTCAAAGGGCCCAGCATCCTCGGTGCTGGCCATCAGCAAGCTCCTTTGCCTGCATTCATTCAGGCCCTCAACATCTGACCTTCAGCAGCCGAGTGAGGGCTGCAGAACAAAAAGTCCTCATCTGTTGGGGAGACATGCTCAGGAGGGGTGATCTGGCTGGCCACACACACACACACACACACACACACACACACACACACACACACACACTTAACCCTGTGGGAAGAATGGACAGATGGCAAGAGTCTGGATGGTGGGGGGGGGGATGGATCCTGAAATGAGAGACCCACTCATCTCCATGCTGATTATACATCCTTGAGACCCCTGAGCCAGCCTGAGCAACTTGGGTTTGGTCTTAGCCCCCTCCCCCCCAACCTTCCCAAGTAAGGAGGAAGTCGGGGGTGGGAGGCGGGGAGGCTGGGGTTTCCCACTCAGTATTTTTGTTTTCATTTTGCAGAAGTATAGGTAGAGGAAGAAGCTTACCCAGAGTTCCCCTGTGAGATTGGGGGTTTAGCCTGTTTAGATGTGTGGTTTAGGGTAGGCTTAGAGTTTTTCATATATTTGCTCAGATGGCTGTTTTCCAGTTTCAGAATCAGATAATGAAGATGGAGAACAACATACAAGACAACAAGACCATACAGAACCTGAAATTTAACACTGAAACCAAACTGGTAACTGGAACCTCCCTCACCAGAACCCTGCTTGTCTGAGATCCAACCTTTAATGCCCCAGGGAAAATAAGAGAATGGCGGCTCCCTGGCCTTAGAGGCCAAATGGGAGCTAAAGTGTCCTGCCCTAGGCCAGGGATTTCTCATTTGGCCCTCCTGCCAGAGTTCCCTGAGGACAAAGAATAAACAGGAGCCCCCAGACTCCCTCCTTCCCCTCCACCCCTGGGGTGGTCAGATCTGGGGTGGCCAGGAACCAGGTTACCTAGGCTCCACTTTCCCAGTCCCATTGGCCCCAGAGAGCACATTTGCCTTGTCTGTCAGAATCTCACCTTAGCCATCCTGGCTAAGAAGAATGTCTTCCTATGATAAGACCCTTTCAGCTGATTGGAGCAGTTTACTCAGGGGAAGATAAATGACTGTTTGTTTAGTTTTCTTCCTAATCTTGGCCACTTTTTGTTTGTTTCCTGGCATTCCTTTAATTAATCCATCAACCACTCCTTCTTTCTCCCTAGTCAGGGTGGCCCTATCAGCCTCCTAATCTCCTAATATCTCTCTCTGCTGCTGCCATCAGAGGGTAGAGGAGATCGCTCACCTCCGGGAGAATGTAATGAAGCTATGGAGTGAGGAAGGACCCTGGACCCTGACGCTTGGTAGCAAAAAAATGCTCATGTCCCTTGTGAGACAACGATTTTTTATCAAGGATGTGGGCCCTGACGAGGTCACCCAGATAAACAGATGGGGCATTTATCAGGCAGTGAGGTAGGGAGGAGAACTATGCTGTTATGTTAAGCTAAGACACCTACCTATCTTTGGATTTGAGACTCCTGGGCCCTTATCTATCCAAGGGCACCAGGAGGCCTCCAGACCAGGAAGGAATCTGTCCTGGGGCAAATCCTGTGAGAACCTCTTTTAATTCTGAGGGGGGAGGGAGCTGCCAGAGCCAAGCATTTATTGAGCACCTACTATGCACCCGGCTTTGCTGTTGCCACTGGGGATGCAAACAAAGAAAAAAGAAGTATTCCCTGCCCCCAAGGAGTTTACCTTGTGATAAGGGGGGGCAAAAAGTAAGCTCTAAACCTGAGTACAGTATACTGTGAATATCAGAAACATCTTGAGAACTAGAAAAGGGAGAAAATACAAAAGGCCAGGAAGCTGAATTAAGCTGCTCTTATCTGGGAGGGAAAGAGCCCAGACAAATAAATGCTCTGATCAGAGGGGAGTGGTGTGCTAGCTTTGATACCACATGATTCAAAATCAAAAGTTGCCACTTGCCCTCCTGGAGCTCTGTGTCTGAAGAGGCTGCCTCACTGGATGAGTACTGGGACTAGAGGACCATCTTACATCAGAGCTGCAAAGTGGTAAGGACTGAAGAAGTCAGAAGGGATGCAATCTGTCTGTGTTTTCTGTTGCCAGGTGGCTGAAATGGAAAACAGTTTTACTCAAGCTTTTAGTTAAGGGAAGGCCAAGAAAAGTCTATCATCTCAGGGGTCCTAGTGGAGAAACCTACAGATCTGGAGCCTATTCACTGGCCTGACTTTCCTCTCTTCCCAGAAATAAAATGCTATCCCTTATGTGAAATTAACTGTTGTTGTTGTTCAGTTATGTCCAACCCCATTTGAGGTTCTCTTGGCAAAGGAATGGTTTACCTTTTTCTTCTCCAGCTCGTTTTACAGATGAGGAGACTGAGACAAACCCAGTTAAGTGGCTTGTGTAAGGTCACAAAGCCAATAAGTGTCTGAGGCTAGATTTCAACTCAGGACTTCCTGACTCCAGGCTCAGTGCTGTATCCACTGTGGCACCTAGTTGCTACAGAATTGACTAGGAGTCTTATTTATTTGGGGAAGTGGATAATTCAATGGTGATCATGATATTTGGGCCAATTACTATGCCCTGGGGTTTTAGTGGGAATGTGCATCTGTTTCCATTTTGTGCAGGTAGGGATATAGGTGGTCAACATCTACCTATTAAAATAGATTTTTAATTAAAACTAAAATGTAATTTAAAAAGAATGAACAGCTAGTTCTGGAGGACACTAAGCTCCCACTAGGTCAGTGGTTCAGGAGAATTAGCAGTAGCTTGATGACATCAATCAGCTTTTTGTCTTTTCTGAAGAGAGGTTGATTCCTTTTGGCAGGGAAAGTCATGCCTTGAAGACTCAAAGCAGAGAGGTCTGAGGTGGTGGAAAAACAAAGATAAACAGAATTTCCAGGATGAGGGGGAAGCATTACTGAGGTCATGAGAAATTGGAGACACTCAGATTCTAGAGTCCTCTACTGAGTGAAGCAGGATTCTGTTGGACCAGTGAGGTCACAGGACAGCAGCTTCCCCCTCCTCACACATGGGAAAGGAGAACCCTTAGGAGAGCCTAGATGCCACCTTTGCTTCTACTTGAGGATCTCAGGGAAGAAAGGGTTTCACATTCCTCACTCCCAGCCCAGGGATCTGATGACACAGTCTGTCCCACTGGCTAAGCCAAGGTCAAGTCTAAGATCTTTTTAAGAAACAGCTCTATTGTAGGCTACTGAAAACTTAACAGGCAGGTTTCTGGTTCTCCCCTAACCCTCTCCCCCACCCCACCCCCGGCACAGAATTCAGTAGAAACCAAGTACTATTACTTTGTATTACTAGGGTTCCAAGAAACATACAGGAGGTAGGAATGGAGAGGATCATGGGAAGCTGGACCCTAGTCATCACTTCTCACTCCACGACCTCCCATCTGCCACTCCTGGGGACCAGAATGACTATAACTTAAGACACCCAGATCCCCACAGCTTTTGCCTCTGGATCAGGTGGGTCACTGAGAGCTCCCTTCATGAGTAAGCCAGGCTGATGCAGGAGCAGCTGAATTCAACCAATGGGGCTGAGAGTTGTACGGTTTAGGATTCTTTAGGACCTTTTTCTTCTTTCATAACCCTGCCAGTGGCTCGGGAGTCACTGTCATGGCTCTGCTCCTACCTCTCAGGCAGAGGGGCTGTCAGTAGTCCTGTCTCTTTAGGGCCTCTGGAAAAAAACTCCCTAAAGGCTAGGTACAAGGCATAATTGGGAAATCTGCTCAACTGAAAGTTCCAGGGACCCCAGAGAGCCCCTGTATTCCCAGTATTCTGCAAGATGCCCTTTAAACCCTACTGAGAACACAAGGGAGGAGATTCTCTGGCTGTTATCTCATGAGTAAATAGACAATGTTTGTTCATTTAATCAACGCATCACCCTTTTCTTCCTGCCTCCCTGGGAGAGCACTTGCAGTTCATCCAAAAGGTTTGCTTCCTGCCAGCCTGGTCCAGCGCCACCCCTGCCTTGCTGCTTGCTATTGGGAGAAGCTCTTAAAGGAGCTTGAGGTAGTGCCTTCTTTAAGATGTTCAGAAGCTCTTGTCAACCCTGGTACCATTCCTGAATCTCCTAAAGCCAGAAGTTCCTTCCTTGTGGGAGGGGGAACATGGGGGGGGGGATATGGCTGCCTCCACAGAAGTGTAGCGCAGAGGTGCTAGAGGGAGCACTTGCTGTAGGGAGGCGGTCAGGACTACGAGAGGAGCTGCTGTCCCTCTATCATCAGCTCTAAAGTTTTACCTAAATGACCAGGAAAGTGGGCTGAAATTAATCAGTGCAGAAAAGCAGTACAAGGTAAGGCTACTGGATCCCTAGGATCCAGCTGAGAGCCAGGCAGCAAGGAGAATTGGCTATAAACATCTTCCTGGCAGTAGGACACATAACCTGTTAGAGTTTGGAACTCTTTTAATAAATGAGGATAGGAGATGAAAGCATTAATAGTAAGAAGAGGCAGAGAGGAAGGGGTTCTTACAGTTCTGGGTCATGCTTAGCCTGCCATTGGACCTGATTCTTTCAGTGCCTGGTCCAGGAAGGAAGCCTAGCCTCTCGTCTAAGTCCGGCCTCTGTGAGAGGGTAAAGCAGCTCCAGCAACTGTGGGTTATGCCTCCTCTAACTGATCCATCTCCAGGGCATGTCTGCCCAGCTCCCGGCCTCCCACACTGTGGAGCTCCTGGACCACATCTGATGTCCAGTTGGCAAGCAGGTCACTAAAATCGGGTGTGCTGGTGTTGAGCAGACACAGGGAGCTGGGGGCTGGCTCTTTCCAGAAGGACTGTGGCAGCTTCCTTTTGTGCATTGGGGTGATGTGGCCGTACTTCTTTTCAAGCCTCAGCCTCCGGCTGTCAGACACCCTCTGCCTAGCATATTGACAGAGACCATATTCAAAAAGCTCAACCAGAGGCCCCAGCTTCTGAGACCTGTCTCTGCCGGAGATGAACCTGGCCTGGCAATCGAAGCCCCTGGGGAGACCAACAGTGTCAGTGTCCTCATCCTCCTGGTCCCCACTCTGGACGATTTGCATCAAATCTGCATAGTAGAGCTCCCTTGCAGATTTGCCAGGTGGGCGGCTGTCCTCATAAATGTTGCATGCATCTGGGTCGTCGTCTTTTGTCTTCTGGCCAAAGTACTTCTGGATGTCACAGCTGATGAGCTCAGAGAAGCGCAGGAGTTGCAAAGTCATCTCGGTGCTACTTGGGCTTGGCCTGGTGGAACCTTTTCCCAGCTCTTGGTCTGACCTCTGGCATCCTGGACTACGGCCTGCCAGCTCCAGGTCCTCCACCTGTTTTTCCCCATCTTCCTCCTCTTCTCCATCTTCTTCCTCCTCCTCCTCAGAGGTTTCAGGGAAGTCTGGGTCTCGGTGGCCAGTACTAGGTAAGAATGGCTGATGGAAGGGGGCCTGCAGTCTAAAGTCACATAAATTTCTAATCACTCCAGCAGCCATTTCCTCTCAAGCCTAGGAGCCTTCCAAGGCAGCAGATGTTATCTGACTGGTAAGAGAAGGCAGGGAAGAAAAATAGACAGAGTCAATAGGTTTGACAGTGTCATGTTTGAGCAACTCATTTCATTGATCCACTTCTGCATCTTTATTCTGGCAGTTTCCCCCAGAATACCTTCCCTTCCATCTCTGTCCATCAGTCCAACCCATCCTTCAACATTTAGTTCAGATGATAACCTCTCCATGACCAGAAACAAGATGTATGATTCATTTTGGACTTCCCCTTCCTCTCTGCCATCACTTCTCCAACCCACCCCACCACCCCTAACTACTACTCACATGGTCTAGCTTCAATTCAACACACATTTGTAGAGCATGGGGATACTAGAAGAGTGAAAAGGATTAGCAATTGTGATTGAAAGAAAAAAAGGAGGGCCATTGTAACATTTTTTAAAAGTATATGGAAGATAACATAAGGAAGTTCAGAAGGAGGCAGAGACAAGCAGCAAAGCTTTGAAATAAAAAATGTGTTATATATTTTAAAAAAACCAAGCAGTATGAAATGGAGATTCATAGTTTCATATAAAAATCCTCCTTTTAGATTCTGCTGTGTGTAAGGAAATGCTTTGTTGTTCAAATTCAAATGGGAAGGAGGGAGAGGATAGAGGAAGGGAGAAAAAAAATTGGAACTCAAAATCTTACAGAAGTGAATGTTGACAACTAAAATAAACAAAGAAAAAGGAAAAGGAAAAAACAAAATTTTTACATTTTAAAAAAAATTTGTAAAAGTGTGATCTTCTAGTCCAGTCCCTTTATTTTATAGAGGGGTGCTTTATATAAAAAGCTGTATAATAATTGGCAAGTCATTTAACTTCACTGAACCTCAGTTTCCTCAGTTATAAAATGAGGATAACAGTGCCTGAAGGACCTATCCTACAGAATTGTCATGAGGGCCAAATGAGATAATGTATGTAAAGCTTGTCTCAAATCTTAGAGGATTCTACCTATTCATTATTAAAGAAGGAAGGAAAAAACTGTAGAGGTAGGTAGCTGATTGATCTTGAGAAGCAAGATTGGGAGAAGTCAAGGTGTCATGCCCTGTGACTAGGAGAAAGATGGTACCACTAACAAATGGATAAATTAAGAAAAGGAGTTGGTATGGGGAGAAGGTGGTGAGTCCAATTTATCAAATAGGGATATTGAAGAGGCAAGTGAAGACATAGCCCTGGGACTCGGGTGAGAAGTTAAGGTTGACTATATTGATTTGTTTTGCTTGCCTATATTTACTTATTACAAGGGAGGCTTCTGTTAGGGAGAGGAAGCCATTAGGAAATGACAGTGATATAAAACTAAAGGAGAAGAACATCAATAAAACATTTTTTTAAATACCGAAAGCCTATCATATGTGTGACACAGTGCTTGAAATACAAAAAAAAATAATATGGCCTCTGCCCTCTAGGCATTTAGAATCTAGTAAGAGCTCATATTAAAAATATGATGTGAAGTAGCATGTGATCTGTCCTTGGCCCTGAGCTATTTAGTATTTTTTTTAACTCAATAGTTCTATGATCCCATGAGTTGGTTGAATGTAAGTGAAATGTAAATTCTTTAAGGGAAGACCTCTTGCTTTTGTGTCTTATAGCAGCATGCCTGGTGTGGGGCAGGTGCTTAACAAATGCTAGGTGGATGGATGGATGGATGGGTGGTTGGATGGATGGCTAAAAAGTTAAGGCTAGAGAGAAAGACAGAAAGAGATGGAGAGAAAGAGACAGAGAGAGATTTTACTGTCATCTGTCTTCTTGAGTGTTTGGGAGCATCTCCTTCACCACGTAATGGTTTTATGGCATCAAAATAAATGACATTTATGGCCCTTCAATAAAGAGAGTCTCTGTGACATCTGCCCAGGATAAAAAGGGCACTGAAAAACCTTTGAACAAACTTGAATTTGACAATAGAGGACTCCCAACCATTCCTTTCTGTCAGTGGAATATTTCCATATTGGGAGTAGTTTCATATGTCTCTGGGGAGTTCCTAAAATCTGAAAATTCCACACAGAACCTCAAGGAGCTGAAAATATATCAGAAGCCATAGGCAGCGTTAGCTACTATTTCTAGGTTAGAGATGGTTTAGTGGGACAAATGGATTAGAATCTGGAAGGATTTGGTCCCTAGGGGGTGTATTGTGTTTTCTTTTTATACTATCCTCCCTCCTCCTCTTTACTCCCAAAGCTCACTTTGGCTTTATTATTTTTTATTTTTTTTACTTTTTTGGTGAGGCAATTGGGGTTAAGTGACTTGCCCAGAGTCCCACAGCTAGTGCGTATTATGTGTCTGAGGCTGGATTTGAACTCAAGTCCTCTTAACTACAGGGCCGTGGCTCTGTTATTTTTTACTTTTCATTTGGGCTTACTTCCCGGTTCTCTGGTTTTTGTGGTATCGGGTAAGAAGTCAGCAGTTACAGCAGATGTTTAGAGGTGACTCTGGCAGCAATCTTTCTCATGGTTGATACGTTGTTGAATTATTTAGATATATCTTTGTATTATTTGGTATTCTGTTAAGAAATTCTCTAGCTAGCAGCATTGATCTTTAAAGACTTAGTTTGACATTACTACAGTAACAATATCCAAAATCTCCAGGAGACAGGCTATTTAAGTTATGGTTACATAAGTAAGCAATCACATAAAGTATATGCCATGTAATACAAGGTAATTTTAAGAGCAAGGGAGCATTAGCTAGGAGCATCAGGAATGGGAGGTGTCATTTGAACCATGCCTTGAAGGAAGCTAGAGATTTTATGAGGCATTCCAGACATGAAAGGGCCACTTGTTCAAAGGCACAGAGGAGAGAGATGGAGTGTCATGTATAGGGAATTGGAGCCAGTTTTACTGGAAAGAAGAATTTGCAAAGGAAAAAAAATGAACTAAGCCTAGAAAGGTGGATGGGAACCAAATGGCGAAGGGCTTTAAAATTAATTCTAAGGAATTTACATTTTATCCTAGAAGTAGTAAGGAATCCTTGAAGATTTTTGAATATCAGGATGACGTGGAAATATTTATGCCTTATTTGTGGTCTCATTGTCCCAATTTATTGGCAGGAGGAAAGAACTAGCTCCGTTCTCACCTTCAAGGGTAGTTATGGGAATAAGAGAAGATTATTGTATCAGTGGAAAAGCACTCAAGAAGCACAGTCAACCTGTTGTCCTGACCAACATCATTTCATAATCATTCCATTCATTCATTAGATCCAGACTTAACTTTACCATCATAAAACTCCACTGGAACATCTCTTATTCAATTGCCCAAAGCACAGCTCAGATCCCACATCCTACATAGACCTTTCCTGGGTCCCCTAGTTAGGAGTGTTCTCTCTCTGTCTCTGTCTCTCTCTGTCTCTGTCTCTCTCTCTCTCTCCACAAGTTATATATTTATTTACTTTTCCAAGTAGATGTTGCGCTGTACAATATAACCTCTCAGTAGACTGCAATCTCCATGAGGGCAAAGACCATTTTATCCTTTGTCTTTGTATCCCCAGGACCTGACCCAGTGCCCCACACACAGCTGGCCCATAATGAAGCTTGGTGAATTTACTTTGTCACACTGCTTCTATGGTACTAAGTCTCCCCCTATCTCTGCTCTGCAGTTTAATTTAGCCTAGCATTCTGTTTCTCTGGACTCAATGACTATGGAAAGAGCATTGACTTTGAAACTGAAGAAGCTTGATTCAAATCCCACTTCTGACAGTACCTGTGTGACCTTGCGTAAGTCACTTCTTGGGGTTGGATTAGGGGGCCATTGAGCTCTTTATCTATGATTATGTAAGTAATAGAGCTAGTTAATATGCTACAGAACTAGAAGGCATCATTGTTCTAGGTACCCTGAGTGCATGGGAGTTAGGTTTTGTTGGACTCCTGGGGCAAGATAGGATTATGGTAGTCAGTCAATTACTACAAAACTCTCAGACTATCTACAAGTATATCTTATTTATCTAGAATCCAAGCTATCAGTGAACTGTAAGAACTGGAATGCTAGAGTTTATTCTGCACTTTATTCTGACAAGAACTAGAGACAAAATAACAACAATGATCAATGTAGTGCTTTATTTTTTTAACAAGAAGTGCCTTAGTATATATCTTGGGGCCCCTGCCGATTTAGCCCATGTCATTTCCACTGGGTAATGAGAATTGATATTCACCTAGACAAAAAATTCATTTGGAGGAACCAAAAATATCAGTGAAACAATGAAAAAAGCATGATGGAAGGGAACATAGCACATCCAGTCCTCAAATATTATTACAAAGCAATATTCATTAAAATTATTTGATATTGGTTAAAAAAATAGAAAAGTAGATCAGTGGAACTTATGAGACAAGGAAGAATGATAAATAATTGAATTCAAAAACCCAGTATTCAATTAAACCTGAAAGTATAAGTTACTTCAGGAAGAATTTCCTACTTAATGAAAATTGTTTGAAAACTGGAAGTAATCTGGAAGAATTTAGACCAATACCTTATTTAGCAAAATAAATTCACAATGGAAAGATGATCTGAATACTAAAGGTCATATCACACACATACACACACACACACACACACACACGCACACGAAGAGAACCAGATCAGGTATCTTTCAAAGCTATAGTTAAGGGGTGACTTCTTAATCAAACCAAGGGAAAGGGTCATAACAAAAGATAGAATAGATAATTTCAATTAAATGAAGTTGAAAAGCTTTTGAATGAACAAAGTTCAGTAGATTGGGGCTAAGTCTTCATATCAAAGTTAAGGACTTAATTTCTAAAATGGATAGACAACTAACAGAAATATGTGAGACCAAAAGCCATTCTCTATTAGGTAAGTGGTCAAAAAATATCAACTAATAGTTCTTAAAAGAACTGCAAACTACCAACATCTAGATGAAGAAAATTCTTCAAGTCACTAGATAATAAAAGAAAATGTAAATCAAAACACCTCTGAAGTTTTACCTCAGATCCAACTAGCTGGCAAAGATTACAAAAGACCAGAAGAGTCAATGTTGGAAGAGCTGTGAGAAGACTGTA